ATATAAATGTTCTACTTCCTATAGACCCTCCGTCCATTCAAATTGAATATCACTTTTTTCTTGGTTGAAAATGGATGAATCTTCTTACCTTCGGCTTTCCTATCCTGTAGAGGAGTCGCAAAGTTGGTTTCTCTTCAGAGAAGTTTTCTGTTTTAACGAGACTGATGCAGCAGGATGGATCTTCAAGATATCCCTCTTTTTTTATTATCATCAAGTTTCTGAAATTATGCGTGGGTGACTTCTTTTCATCTAGATAGACTGTCACTTTATTAGTTTAAGTGCATGGGGAGTCAAAATCAAATAGTCTACTGACACCAGTTTTTTCAAGACCTTCAAGCTCTATTTGTCCCAATAGTTAATGCTAACGAAGAGGTAGATTGTTTAATTTTAAACAGTCTACTAATACAGTTGCTATATATATATATATATATATATGCGAGTTTGAGGACACCAATATCATATGATAGTTTTTATTTTATAATATTTTCAAACTGAAGCATTTTTTCAATAATTGTTTTTTTATTATATAAAGTAATTTTTTATTCATTGTATAATTATTTTTAATTTAATATTAAGTTGCAAATTTTTTTAATTTTTTATTTTATTTAACATAATAAAATATTATCTTTAATAATCATAGTATTAAATTTTTTTAATTTTATTAAATTTAAATATAATAATACAATATATTTTTAATTTTTATTAAAAAATATTTTATTTTAATAATTCAGTGCAGTAGAGAAATTAGTAGTTATATTTAAATTCACGAACATAAACCTATAAACCCAATCCTAATTACTAGCCAGCATGTTGTTGAAAATATGAACAAAACAAATTCTTTCTTGTGTGCCATTAAGTAACAAAAAAACCATTGCAACTAATTTGTTAAATCGGCCACATTAATATAAACCCTAGACCTAGATCTTCAGCACATAGACTCTACATTAGATATTTTTTTTTTCTTTTTTGAAAATATATGGCTGAATCTTCTTATATATGCAGCATTAATTTCCTCCCTCATAGACTCTACGTTAGAGTCGCAATGCCGATTTTTTTTAAAGAGGTTCTCCGTTTTAACATGACTGATGCAGAAATGGGTCTTCAAGATATTTTTTTTCCAACTATCATCAAGTTTCTAAAACTATGCGTGTTAGAGTGGCTTTTTTTCATCTAGATAGACCAGCACTTTGTTGGTTTAAGTGCATAGAGAATCAAAATCAAATAGTCTCCTAGTAACAGTTTCTCCATAAGATTCAAGCTTGATTACTACCTGCGGATAGTTTTTATTCATTCAGTTTTTACTATCACAAGCATTTTTTACTCATTCAGTTTTTAACAATCCTTTGAAATGGTTTTTATCAACTTTTGGGACGATGACTTTTAAATATAACATTTCATTTCTATTGTGATCATTTTTACCGACTCTTGGCGCGACGACTTTTAAATATAACATTTCATTTCTGTCGTATTTCTATTCTGGAGTCGCCAGTTACACTCATAATTCATTCAATAAACTTTCATTATAAAATGATTTTAACTACTAAATAATTTCATTATTAAATAAATTTTCACGTTACTTCATTAACAAAAGATAAACTTAAATCATTTAATAAGTTTATTTATCTGAGAGCCAGCATGTTGTTGAAAATATGAACAGAACAAATTCACTAAGATCTTATTTTACAACAATTGTTTTTATTTCATCTCTTATGTCATCAAAATAAGAGATACATATTACGAGTATTTCATCTATTATTAACCAACATTAACCAGGAAGACGTTAGCTGGAACCTCGATATATCCTAAAGGAGATTCAGTAAAACAATCGAAGCTTATGAGAATGATTAAGACAAAATTAGTTCACATAAATGGCACTGTTGCTACATCATGGGAATGCGAAATTCGAATCGTGTTATAATTGAGCAAATAAAAAAAAAATCGTGCTATTGAAAATTACATAGTTTACAATTTCGGATGCAATGTGTCCTCCATTAAACTGGTGATCCAAGCAAATAATTTAGTATTTAAATTTGATATATGTTTACTGTTGTCTTAAGACTATTGGTTAAAAAATTTTAAATAATTTTTTAAATAAAAAATACCTGCAAATGAAATACCATGCCGTGTCCAAAATATATAGAAGTGAAGATCACGTTCAAAGTCAACACAACACACGGGACATAGCATTGACCATAAATTTTATGGTTGTCAGGTCCACAACGTGAAACCAACCATCTTGCTCCATCCAATCATCCATACAGTATTATATATTTCTTCCACATTTCCAAGACGCATTATGAATAAGATAATTGGGCAATCATTCTCTCTATAAATAGCCAAGGTATTTGGTGCATTGGTACCTCACCATAACATAACTTGGAAGCATTTCTTCATTACCCCTTTGCAAAAGCATTAGAAAGAATTTTATTAATGGCTTTCCTTCAGTCCCTCTTCGCAACCTCTATGCTGCTTTCGGCATTGCTAGTCTTTGCCTCAGCAACTGATTATGGATATGGTCCAGCACCAACGCTTCAGAACCCCAAACCCGAAACAGATTACAAACCACAACCTACAAAACCAGATCATGAAGTGCCCAAACCCGAAAAAGAATATTACAAACCACAGCCTACAAAACCAGATTATGAAGTGCCCAAACCCGAAAAAGATTATTACAAACCACAGCCTACGAAACCAGATTATGAAGTGCCCAAACCAAAAGGAGAAGATGAAGTGCCACTGCTGCCCACAATCATCAGTGTCCAAGGAGTTGTTTTATGTAAATCAGGCTCTAATTACTTCCCAATTCAAGGTATATTATTTTTTTTTATTTTTAAAACATTTTTTATGGCTGTGTTGTCAATTAAAGAACTTATGTTATGATAGTTTGGGGTATGGTGATATATATTTGTTAATAATTGTATATGGATGGACGTGTGAGGGGTGCAGGAGCCGTGGCACGAGTTACGTGCGGATGTGTGGACGAGAATGGGTACGAGACAGGTCCTATATCAGTATTGAGTGATGCAACAGATGGAAAAGGTTATTTCTTGGCCACAGTGACACTTGCGGAGTTTGGACACAAATTGAAGTTTGGAGAATGCAAAGCATACCTTGAGAGTTCTCCATTAGAGACGTGTAAAGTTCCCAGCGATGTTAACTACGGGATCAGTGGTGCTACCCTTTCTTCTTATCGTATTCTTGACAATAAGAAGAAATTGTACTCTGTCGGACCTTTCTTCTGCACCTCCCAATCCACATCAGTTCCAGCCCCTAATGGTTATTGAAACGGCTTCTATATGATCCACGTCCATCGGTTTCCCAAACAAAATTAACATAAAAAGGATGCGAAGTCAAGAATCATGCATGATTTATTGTTTTTTATTATTTTATTTTTGTTTATGGTGTACGTGGTTTTTCTAATGTTTTGCTAAACGTGTTGATTTCATATGTAATTCGTTGGTAGGAGGAAATGACGAAACCTCCTTCCCTTTAAGATTTTTATTGCAAGTTTTAATACGGTGTTCCGATATGGATTCATAAAGGTTCTTGAGCCATCCTTTGTTCCTTCATGTTTGTTCCCTCTCTCCAACCACTTCAACTATCTAGTTGAATTTTGCTTATAACAATGGTGAAGTCAATTCATGAGATTTGTCATGAATTTGTTTTTTCTAAAAGAATCACGTTATTGTAGCATCTATTTGAAAAAAATTATATTGTATGTTTATATTTTATTAGATTTATATATATTTTTAATTTCCTTCATATCACATAAAAACTAAAGAAATGATCAGAAAAAAAAAATAAAAAATGAAGACATCACGACATCCACTGTACGCGTGTTTCTCACAGATGTCAAAACTAACATTTTTCTGTTTCTAAAGTGAAGATGTAAGCAATTTTAATGAAATATATATTAAAAATTAGTATGCTTAATTTTGGAATAAATAAAATTGCATATTCTTTGAAAAAAAAATTCAAAACGATACTTTAAAAAAAAAGTTCGTGCCCAAATGCATATGTCGAAGAATAAAATTTTCTACTCATAGTCTTCCTTAATTTATCTGAGTTCTCACTCTGATAAAACTGTGAGAAGTCATAGTAAGTAAAAATAAACAGTGATCCTGTTCTTTTTTTGTATAATATACATGTAACGCATAATATTCGTTTATTGTGGATATCAAGCCTATTAAGCTCTACACAAAATTGTAATGCACCTGTTAATTAAGTTTAAACTCAGTAAATACATAAGCATGATGTTTTTTAAATTTCTAATAGATCACAAAATTATATGTAATTATAGAAAAAATATTAAGTTATCCATTTTACTTGTTTTATAAAAATTATATCACCAATTAATTAAAATCAAATTAATCAAAAATTTTCTAACAAACCATTCATGCAAGAGTTCCTTATATATATATAATAAAATAGTAGCATGGCATGAATCATAGATACAGAAAGCATGGCACGATTGAATTATCCCAAAAGCTTTAGGAACTGCATACAAATTAAATAATTCTTTACTATATTTTAACAACCAATTATTCAAAATAAAGATAAATTTCCATATTATCCACAACATATACAAAATTTAAAATAATATTAATAATAAAACCAGAAAAAACGAAAATAAGGTAGTTCGAGTTATTTCAAATTGATCGAGTTGATTGTACATAATCCAATAATAATCGAGTTAGAATTAAAGTAATCTAATATTTATATATACACTAAAATTTTTAGTTTGAATCAAGTCAGATTGATGGAATATTAGTTGAATTCATTTATGATCACCCCTAATTAAAGCTATGTATGGCCTGGAATGACAGGTAGCTGTGCGTTCATCGCATGTATGTAATTTTTTAATTTAATTGGAAACAAGCGGTTGGCATTTACGTTTTCTAAATACAAGTTAGAAGCAATGTTTTGGACCAAAAAAGGAATAAAACAATTATTGATCCCAGTCTGAGAAAGACAACTTTCAACATTCTATAGCCCATGCAATGTACCTTCATATTTTATTGTTAAACGATTCACAACAAAAATATTGTTATTTACTAACATTCAAAAAACTTGTATCCACCAACATAGGTGTTCAAGGCGTTGTCTATTGCAAATCAGGCTCAAAACTCATCCCACTTGAAGGTAATTAATTATTGTGCATTGTGCTAGATACCACATAAAATTATACATACATTATTGGATGTGTTGCTTGTTTCATATTCATAGGGGCATTGACAAGGATAACGTGTGAGGCTGTAGATGAATATGGGTTTGAAACGACACCGTTGTCTTTCTTAAGTGGGGAAACCGACGCAAAAAAGGGAACTAAAAGAGTGTAGGGCTTTCCTTGATGCCTCACCATTGGATAATTCTAGTTATCCCACAGACGTTAACAAGGCGATCAGTGGTGCTTTGCTTCATTCTTATCGTTTCCTTAATGACAAGAAGATGAAATTATATACCGTGGGGCCTTTTCTATTCACTTCACCACCTAAATCAATATCTAATGGCTATTAGATTAGATAATTGTTGGAATCCCCACCCCACAAGCCTTTTATGAGCTTCACGATTGTTCTCCTTTTCCATAATTATTATTACTTCTAACTTAAAAAGTATCGTTATGAAAGAGAGGGAGAAAAAACTTTGTAATGGAAACTCACCTTTATTTATTTACCAGCATTATCACCCCTTCTATCCACGAGCATTTCTAATTATTTATTTTTTATCTATCTCCGCTGTAGTAGTTTTCACATAATTTATCATTTGATATATGTATGGTATTGCAGAACTTAAGATGTTAAATTATAATTCTTTAAGTGTGTTATTAAGTTTTGACATATGGTAGATGTCTTTACGATATTGTTTTAAAAAAATAGAAGTAAAATATTTTAATCAAAAAATATTATTAAAGCATATTTCTTATATTTTTAATGCATTTTAATATTCTTCTTAATAAAAATTATTTTCAAATTTCTAACCAATGTCGACTTAAGAACACTGGTTAACCAGATCTATAAGTTTTTAATTTTTAAAAATGTAATATATTTTTTAAATTAGTCCATTTTTATCTTTTCATACGTAGATTTAATAAAAATTATCTATTTTTAGTCTTTTAATAGGAGTTTTTATGAAATTTGAATCATCTTCATATTTTTAAAGAGTAGTCATTTAAGGAATCGAAAAATATTTTTTTTTAAATATAATTTTTTAAATAATGGTAAAAAATCAAATTTAAGAAAATTCTGTATATATTTTTAAAATTTTTATTTTCATCAATTAATTTAAAAGAAAAATATTTATTTCAATTATTTCACTAAATGATAGAAAAAATACTTTTTTTTATTTATTTTGCTTAAGATTCTTTTTACTTTTTATTGTATTTGAACACAAATATTTAGATTATAATTTTTTAACAATATACCGCGCGCCCACAAAGAAGAAGCCTCATTATACTTAGAGGAGGTTGATGAAAAACATTTTCGCCATCTTCTAGGAGCAAATTGAGACGAGAGTGATTTAGTGAAATCTCCAAGAAATCTAGCATCAAGCATATCTGCAGGATGTGAACATACTAAACTAAATGCTTCACTTCCCAATCAACTTACAAGTAGGTATCCCAATCTGTGTGATGATAAAATTGGGATAACACAAACAATATATACCAGGCAACAATACGCGACTATTTTGCTTTTTATTTGGAAAATTTGGCAACGAAGTTTGTATCTCACACTGTACAACTGCATCCAAATTAGAAAATCAGAGTGAAGTAAGATGACCTTAGAAGGCAATTACTTGCTTTAATTTTGTTTTGTGGAGGAGAATAATATACATCTTCCACAGCTATACATTTTTTAAGCCGGTTATGATATCTACACCCTAAACATGAAATAGCTAGCATCCTATGCAGGGAAAGAGGTAACCAAGTAATCAACAAATTGACATAAACCTCAAAAACTTGAGTCCTGATATTTTTTACACCTTTTTTTTCTCATTCACATAATATAAACAGGGTGCAACCCAGAAGAGCATGAAATGCTCATTCCTCAAAAAAAATTAACAAGCTGGTGGGTTGAGTTTCCCTCCGAAAATAGCCTTTGCATTGGCACAAGAGGATACGAAAGTTGTATTTTGCGGACGACCAGCATAAGCCAAATCAATATCGGCTACCTCAACTCCTAAGCAAGGGTTTGCTGTGCTACATTGCAAAGATACAGCAACATTTGAGACTGTAGTTCCTCTTATCTTGCGGAAATGAACATTGCTAATCTTCCACACTGAAATTGATGGCTGAAAATGTACATTTGTAGACATGATAGTTAGACAGGAACAAAGGTAGTTGCACTTTCAAGTACACAGAATAAGAGAATATAATAAAAAATTAATATTATTAAGCATATATAAATTCTTATAACGTGCTCTGAAGCACAAATTAAGAAAAGCAAAGTGATAATTAAGTTGCAAGGTTAACTAATTTGTTTAATTACCGCTCTTAACGTTTTGGAACCATAACTCTGGTCAATAATAATGGGATTCTGGACGCTGTCCATGATGAGGTCTTGATAGACAATATTTTTGGCTTCCGCTGGAACTGTCCCCAACCAAGTTTTGATTCTGGCACCGTTGGTTGTTTTAATGAATGTGCAATTTGTAACGGTAACGCCATTCACACTTCGTTCTTCTGGCCTCTTACCAAGGCTTCCAACACTGATGCCATGACCAGGGCCACAGGTAATGTTAGTGATAGTAATGTTGGTGGCTGTGTGTCCAATGGAAATGCAGTCATCGCCAGTTCCAATGATGCTGCTGGACACGTTAATCCTATCGCTCGTGCTAATATGCATGCCATCTGTGTTTGGACTATTTCCGGGAGCTGTTATGTTGAGGTTAGAAAATGATATGTTGTTACACCCATGAAGATGAAAGTGGAACTGCTTGCTATTCAAGGAAGTGATGTTTGTCACAACCGAGTTATTCACCCCGTCGAATTTCAGTGACTGCACGTATAAACCACTCCATTGTCAACGAAACCATATCAATTTGTTTAACAAAAATCTCTCCTTACTTTGAGCTTTCATATATTTTTTTTAAAATTTTAATTTAAATCTCTCATTCACGTAACTTTATAAAAAAATTAATACATGATATGAAATTAACATATAATAATATTTAAATTAATCACGTTATTATTTATTAATAATAACAATATTGTTATAAAAATTTAAAGTTAATATCCTAAAAATTATAATCAGTATTTAATATATTTAATAATATAATGTTAAACAATGAAAGGTATGCTTACAGATGGAAGAGGAGCGCAATTTCCCTTGGTCTGCCTGCAGTCGTTCAATGGCCAACTAACAGCTCCTTGGCCATCGAAAACTCCTTTGCCAGTCAACATGAAGCCATCAATGTCTAGAAATGTGAACCATTCTGGACTCACGTAATCAGATGGATCTGTGGTGGCTTTAATATGTCCTTCAACTTCAACGATTATGGGCTTTGGGCTTGTACATGGCCCAGCAAACATAGTTGGGCCAGCACGAAATGTTCCCTTTGGGATCAAAACCTTTGCTTGAGTTGTACTGTTTTTGCATGCTGCTTGCCATGCAGCTGTAAATTCCTACATCATCACACAAAATCATTCGTTAAATATATGCCTTCTCCCTGACCATGCAACTTCATTTGGCCTTTCATTCAATAGTTTGATTAATTATCATTTCACCATGCATATGTACATAGTTCGGAAGGAATTAATTGAATCTAGCAAGATAATTATATTAATGAAACTCACTTCAATATTGTCTTTCTTATCATCTGCCACGGCACCAAATTTTGTTACATCAAATATTGCAAGACTCGTGTTTTCAAGGAGGCTACGGTGATGAGTCACAAGGGCACGGGATGCACCTATTGAACTGCAAGAAAGGAAAGCAATGCCTAAGAAAAAAAGGGCCTTAGCCGCCGTAGCCATGCTGATCACCGGCTTTAACCTTGACAACATAAAACTATTAAGGTTTTAAATTGCAGCTTGTGGGCTGTAGCTTGATATTATGCTGTGGTTGCTGTCATTGCAACCAAGCTGCAATTTAGAACCTTTGTGTTGGTATTTGGTTGAGTTTAATATGACTTGACATATTTATATAGAAGAGAATTATCCTATGCATACCCAATGAAATCTATCTTTGGTGATCATCCTCCTACTAATCGGGATTGTGAAAGTTTCTTTTATTGTAGCTTTTCTTTATTTAGTATTTCATTGCTCCATATTTAGTTACACGATTATAAGTTTGGTTAACTGAAATCTTAAATAATTAGCATGCGTACCTGGCCCCTTCCGAACCCTTAATTTATAACTAGATTTTAAAATTGTCTACAAGATGTGCACAAAATCAACTAATCAATATATGATTGTATAATGTTGTATCATTGACTACAATATTGCAGACATCGGTTTCTTCACCTTTTAAATGGAATTATTCTGGCTCTTTATACTTCCAAAGATAAGTAGTAAAAGTACCTAAAAAAATATATCGTTAATTATAAAAATTAAAATATCCAGAGGATGATTCTTGAAAATCTTTAAAGAGCGCTTTATCTGGACTGGGAGAAAAGGGAAATTGGACTGGATTTGGTTGTAATGCCTATTAATTTAATCATTCACGATCAGGAGATTATGATAATAAGTTAGAGGGTGTCAGCGTACGGTAATCGAGCGGAAGAACAAGGTTTTTATATATTATTAATTATAAATAAAGTGAATATTTTAATCATTTATATATTATATAAACATATTGAAAGTACAAAATCTTGTATAAATAACAAAAAATGAGAGATATAGTACATAATATTAATGTAGTCAGAAAAACATCATGTGAATATCTTGCAAAAAATAGGTACATATTTAAACTAATTATCCTGATTTCAGTCTCATTTTGATAAAATAAATAAATTTAGAATTAGATCATTTTTAATAAAAGAATATAATTTTAAAAATGTTAAGATCCATAAAGAATTTCTTTGTGCCATATATTAATATCATTTCAATAGAATCAACTTCTTACCATCTTTTCATCTCTTAAAAATCTCTGATTCTCATAAATAATTTTTAAATTTATTTAATATGATTGATTTCCTCAAACATATATCAAATTTGCTTATTTATTTATGCTGTTTACGTGCTAGTTGAGTGTTGATAATTACTGTAGCTACATGCAATGACCTAACAAAAATATCTCAGCATCTGGTTTCACACAATGTAAATTCAATCTAAAATTGATATTTGATTTCTTATGCACAAAGGCTACTTTTAGAGAGGTTATTAGGAGCCTCACAATAAATAAATAAATAATTTATTGGCCTTTATTTTAAATAATATATTAAAACATATAAAAATAAAAGCATAGGAAGTTACTTAGTATTAATAGCATATATCAATCTACGTACTTTCTAATTGTCTGCATAGCCTTCTAATTTGTACTCCTTTATCGTTCTCAGATAAATATATTTTATTTTGTAAGCTCTATAAAACAGAGCTATATTTCTTTATTCTACTGGATGGTCTAGTTAATAAAGAGATTTTTTGGTAAATATATACAAGCTATTTATATAGCACATATCTTCATTGGCATATTTTTGTTTGTGGGCTGCTTCAAGTGTTGATAATTATTGTAGCTACATACATTGAATCAGAAACAAAAATCATCTCATTTCACACAATATGCGTCCAATAAAAAAAATAACATTATAATTCTTATCCTTACTACCCCTTTTCACTTGTCATTAGAAAACAAAACAAAAACAAGAGGAGCCCCAACGAAACATCTAATCTAGTCTGTGAAGGTGGTTTGTTGAAGTTGAACTATTGTGAACATAGAAGGCCTCTGAAAGCCCAAAGTGCTAACGAAGCTTACCATGTTATCTCTAAGGGGACACGGATTTGAGGAATGTCTCTGGGTCCCCTTTTTTGTGTTTGGAAGTGTTGTGTAACATTTTTGGTGAAGTTCCAGTCTACTTCTGACATCCCTGACACTCGTGACAGAACCTTAACTTAACCACCTCTTCGCTTCTGCTTCACATGTCTCCCAATTCGTCTTCTCAATCGCTCTCACTTTTCAACGGTCAAATACTCGTTTTCCACCGTTTATGCTTCCCATAAATTTTAAGGTACTCTCTTCCTACCGTTTATCCTCAACTCAGCTATCAAACACAGTCACAACTCGTAAACTCGCGATATTACTTATTTAAACTACTATATCTCATTAACTTATGCTTTTTTTAAAAAAATATTTTTTGCTAGGATATTATTTATTTACTAATTATTTAATAACTCCCTTAAAATAGTTGATAGTAAGTAAGATCCTCTTTTTATATCTACGAAGTAATTGAAGTGCAACAATGATCACGACTATTCTTACAATTGATAAAGAATTAAAACTTCAAAAACATATGGAAAAAATTTGTTAATACACTTTATAATTTTTAATGTAACGTTGCTATAAATTTTAATAACTCTTTTGTTTGTTAATTATTTAATGGTCTATTAAAACATTCCTTAACAGTATCAATAAAATACGGATCCTCATGATCAGTTACAGTGGACAGTATCCAACTTTCTAGGAAAAGAACATATCCTCTGTTTTTTTCAATCGAACCCTTTGCCTCACCCCCAAACTTGTATTTAATTTTATTCCATTTTGCTAAGCTGATGTACTGATAGCTATTATATTAACTAAAATATAAATATAAAACACTTTCTCAGTCGTAATTTGGTTTCAAACTTCTGAAAAAGTTGAACACACCATGACCAGACATATAAGTTTCGCCGCAATGAAAGTTACTCAAAGCAGCAGCAGGTTAAACTAGTAAAGAAATTTTAAAGGTGGCATCAAATGAGTGTGCGTTTCTAAGAAATACAGCCTAAGACTAGCGACAATAAAACATGAGATACACCAAATATGTTGGAGACGCTAACTAGATCCTAGAGTTGTCCAAATGAGTGTGCAAGATAAGCAAGTGCTCCTACAAGAGGTGAGTTAATATAAGTAGCTGGCTCTGATTGCTCATAATCTGATCGTTCATCTGGGAACCCATCATGCAGGTCAGGTCCACCAACAACGGCACCCACTAGAATGTTGGGGTTAGGAGATTGTGAATTCATCACACTGAACCCTGCTGAACACTGGATCTTGCCCGGGTGCACAGCAATGGATGGAAGAGATGAGCCCCTGTGGTGAATCCTTCGTGGGAACCTTGGACCATACCCCACCATGTACGACATCTTCAAAGGGTTGTCCCCAAGCAAGTAATCCACCTGAAAATACAATAATTTAAAAGGAAAAAAAAAACACGTTCAATTAACAATAAAGGAGGAAAATGCTAAGCATTGGCCTAAGAGACACTTTGTTAAATAATCAAAAATAAAAATATTTTGATAAAAAAAACGTAAAAATAAACTCACTTATATTTTTTTAGTATATTCTAACAATTTTTAATAAAACTTGATTGATTTTTTACTTAACCAGTGATCTAGCAAATTTATTACTTTTTCAAAAAATTGAAATGTGTTACACCATAACATATAGATGCTCTTCCTCAAACCTACCTGTTTCTTGGCTATTGTCCGGAGCCTCTTTGGGGTCACTGTGGTTCCAGCACAGTTAACAACCATATGGGCCGAGGTTAAGTATTTGGCATATGCTAACAGTAGGAAGGAGGTGGATGTGACATACTGCATGTTACTATCACCCATCTTGAATAGAAGCCCACCTGCGGAAATTTTTCAAGCGCAAAAAACAGTAATAAGTAACCGTTACATATTGGACCACACAGTTGAAACTAGGAGAGGACAAGTAAAAGAAGTAAAGGGACCTCACCTGGGGTGTATTGGGCAGAAGAGAAAGATGCCCCAGGAATTAGAGAACAGATAAAATTGTCCGCATGGCCCTTGTAGTCATGGAGGGATTGTACCTTTTGCACAAGGAATTCCTAAAACCAAGTACAAAAAAAAAGTAAATTTCATCAAATCATTATTGTTTCTAGTTTTGCAATATACAGCACAAGACATGAGAATGTGATGGAATTTGGACCTTGGAAAGAAGTATCCTTGCTCCAACATGCTTGTTATCCCACCCAAAGGTGTTGTCAGAGTCTGCAGCCCCAAGGAGTTGGCCATTAACTTTGATATAATTTAGGTACATTGGATACTTGGTAGCCTTGTGCAGCCAAGCAGCACCCCACAACAGCTCATCCTACCATATTTCAACGAATGAACAAAAGAATTTGAGTATGTTTCCCACTAAGCATTAACTGAAAAATTGGGCATATGGAAATTTGAAACTTTACCTGATAGCCAGAGTAAGAGCAATAGAAGGGGCACACAAAGGGCTTCAAGGCATTGCTGTAGGATCCCCTGTATCTATCTGCAAACTGGAAGACCTATATACATACACCCATCAACAAATACAGTCTCAGATTTAGTTGGGAACATTAAAAATGCTTTCTTGAAATTGAATCAAAGCCTTACCCTCATAGCCCTTCTGACTAAAATTTTGGAGTATGTGGGGTCACTTTTTCTGAAAACCAGAGAAGCAGCTGCAAGAGCTGCAGCAGTTTCCGCAGCAACTTCAGAACCAGGTGTGTTTGCATCAATCTTAAACACGCTTCTTGGAGTGTCCATGTCCTCGGGTCTCTCCCAACAAGCGTGGTCCTTCTTAGCATCTCCCACCTACAAAGCCAAACCAATACCAAAATCTCACTTCCTTAGTTCTCTCCTCAATCATTCATACGTAAAACAAGACATAGTAAGAGTCTCTAGTCTCTCACTAACCTGAACATAAATAGTGTTTGGATGCACAGTGGCTTTGAGAAGATAATCAGTACCCCATCGAATGGCCTCTCTGGCATTCTGCAACTCGCCTTTCATTAGCCCACCAAACTCAATAACACTCCATGAAAGCATGGTGGTGGTAAAGG